TAATAATAATAATAATAATAATAATAATAATAATAATAATAATAATAGATATTCATTGACATTGCAATACCAGGTGATACATGAATTGAAGAGAAACAAAAAATAACAAAATATTGGGATTTGCAAATTGAAGTTACATTAACAACTATGGAGGAAGAAATCAGTAGTAGTACCAATAGTAATGGGAGCTCTTGGAGCAATACCCAAATAGTTGCCTAGATACATGGAAATTTTGAACTCATTAGACCTGAATATCCTGACTTTGCAAAACCCACCATACTCAGAACTGTCTATATACTCAGACACTATCTTAATAACTCTTAGGTCCTTGTTTAGGACTTGAACTGTTAAATTTTTACCAGTCCCAGACTGTGAATGGAATTGAAGATTAAATCTGAAATAATAATGACAAATAACTTTTCCTTCCCAATGCATTAATGATTTGTTCTTTCCAATTCATTGCAATAATATTACTGCTAAATATATTTTGCCTCCTAATGTATTCATAATCTGTTCCCTCCGAATTCATTGCAATAATATTTCCTCCCAATGCAGTCGTAATTACTTTTCTTCATCCAAATTCATTACAATAATCACCATCAGTCAATCGCAAAAGGCAGCTTTACTTGGAGCAGTTTAGATCCTGCAGTGATTAACATTAAAAATTAACTATCTAGGCTGCATGGGGGAAGGATATGATTCATTATTTTTGTGATCTTCCTACCCAGGGATTTTGGTCAAGGCTTTCATGGAAATCATAAGATTGCCCATGATAAGATTGCCAATGATAACAATAATATCATTTCTTCCCAATTCATCCATTGCAGTACAGGTAGTCCTCAATTTACAATAGTTTATTTAGTGACTGTTCAAGTTACGACGTCATTGAAAAAACTGACTTATGACCATTTTTCACATTTGCAACTGTTGTAGCATCCCTGTGATCATCTGATCAAAATTCAGATGCTTGGTAAGTGACGACGTATACTTACTGCCCCATCTGATCCTCTTCTGACAAGGCCAATTCAATGAGGAAGCCAGATTCACTTAACAACGGTGGCAAAAAAAAAGATTGGAGTAAAACTCACTTAACAATCTTGCTTAGCAAGATAAATTTTGGGCTCAATTGTTGTAAGTTGAGGATACCTATAGTTGGTATTCTCAAGATAATATACTTCTGTCTTTCTCTTCTACTTGACTGTTTCCAGCTGTAAGGGTTAGGGTTCAGGATGGTATCAAAATTAGAATAGATGGATGTAAGCAGTCTTTCCTTCTTCACAGACCCACTCCCTTCGAAAGTGATTTGTTCAAATAATGATTTGTTTGAGCCAACTCTACTTCGTAATGTAAGTCCATATTTTTATAAGATGCATTATAGAATAGAATAACAGAGTTGGAAGGGACCTTGGAGGTCTTCTAGTCCAACCCCCTGCTTAGGCAGGAAACCCTACACTACTTCAGACAAATGGTTATCCAACATCTTTTTAAAAATTTCCAGTATTGGAGCATTCACAACTTCTGCAGGCAAGTTGTTCCACTGATTAATTGTTCTAACTGTCAGGAAATTTCTTCTTAGTTCTAAGTTGCTTCTCTCCTTGATTAGTTTCCACCCATTGCTTCTTGTCCTGCCCTCAGGTGCTTTGGAAAATAGCTTGACCCCCTCTTTTTTGTGGCAGCCTCTCAAATATTGGAAAACTGCTACCCTGTTTCCCGTAGTCCTTCTTTTCGTTAAACTAGACATACCCAGTTCCTGCAACCGTTCTCCGTATGATTTAGCCTCCGGTCCCCTAATCATCTTTGTTGCTGATAAGATATATCATAAAATTAGTGTGGGAATAATACTTCCTGAGTAACCGTAGAGGAGCTTAGGCTGAAGTATTTTATTTTTTATTTTTTTGTATGAAAAGGGCTGAAGTATTATTTACCAGCTTGCATTATGCCTGAGTCTTATGGATTATTCAGAATTCTAAATATTTTATAGAGTATATAAATATTAATACTGTATAGAATATATAAAAATGGCCACTTAAATGTTTCTAATGTACAATAATCCTGAGCATTCATTTGTTTCCAGATTCTGTGTTCAGAAAGTCTAATATGCAGAAACCTACTGTCACTGTCTGAGTTAAGACTTGCTACATGGCAGTATTGTGTCAGTACATTCATGCAGATTATTAGGAAGGACATCTAGCAGTGTCTGCTTGTTCTTATAAAGCTTCAAGCTGTTTAAAGTATAAAGCAAAGACACATTTATTTTTCCTTAATGTTAATTTTACCATATTTCATTTTTAAGATGTATAAATACATTAGTCTATTTGAAGTTGATAATAATACATTTAATATATTGAGTTAATTAGATTTTTATGGACCAGCATAAGAAAAGTGGGGTATGACCATTAAAAAAGCATCAAGGATCTAAAAACATACAAACTCTATATGCATATAAACATATAGATACGTGTGTGTGTGAAGAAAAAAATGTAGAAGAAATACCTGGCAAGGAAGTATTTTCTTACTGTTGTGACATAAATTGTATTTCTACAATTTCTATATTAAATTATAGAGAATATTCACAAATAGAGAGCAGGCAGGTGGATATTCAGATGGTTGCCTCTAATAAAAAGTATATATTTTAATACTACTATGTTTTTTGAAAGACAGATATAATTGTGGAACTATATTGCCTATTTCTTTATTATAGGATACTTAATTTCAATTGTTGATTTTTGAACTATTAGAAATTAGAATCTGGTAATATTTAAAATAATCTACATATCTGTAAAATAATTGAGGATTTTGTTTTAAAATCAAGATTTTTTTTTTTCATTTGAATCACAAACTATTTTCCCCCCAAGTATACCATTCACTTCAATCTTCTACTCAGGAATTGTTATCTGAAATAAGATACATAATTTCATCAGAAAATCAATATTGACATGTTAATGTTTTATAACTTCCAATGTAGATTTGTAACCATATCTCTGTACAATTTACTCGGTCATAATTTAGCACTAGAAAAACCTCTAGAAGCGAGGAAATTAATTTTGGCAAATTGCATACCTGAAAGATGAAACTCCAAAGCCATTCCAGATTTTTTTTTTTTTTTTGGTAATGTCTGTATTGTTTGATGGGCTTTCCATTGCTGTTTTTCCTTCACAAATCTCCTCTGGTAAAGTTCAGAATATTCTTTTTGACTTCCTAATACTGACATGCACAGACACTAGTACAGGTGATCCTTCACTTAAAATCCATTCATTTAGTGACTGTTGAAAGTTATAGCCGGCGGCACTGAAAAAATGACTTTATGACCATTTTCACACTTACGTACAGGGGTGGGCTTCAAAAATTTACAAAATCGGTTCTCTGCCGAGTTGCTGGGTGGATGTGTCCATGGTGGGCATGGCTTACTCAAACTCCTGCATCACTGCAGAGGGGCATTTTTGCCCTCCCAGGCTCCGGAGGCTTTCCTCGAGCTTCTGGGAGGGTGAAAACAGGCTCTGGAGGCCCATTTTTCACTCTCCGCAGGCTCTGGGGGCTTTCCTCAAGCCTCAGGGAGGCCCATTTACCCGCTCCCTGGGCTCTGGAGGCCAGAAATGGGCCCAAACCAGTGAGAACCCGTAGCAGCTCCACCCCTGCTGTCATGTGATCAGAATTCAGACTCTTGGCAACTGAATCCTATTTATGACAGTTGCAGTGTCCCGGGGTCATGTGATTCCCTTTCGTGACCAGTCAGAGGTGGTCTTTGCCGGTTCTCCGAACTAGTCAAAATTTCCGTTACCGGTATGCCAGAACCGGTCCGAACCATCTGAATACTACATCTGGTCCTCACAGTTGCAACAGTTGCAGTGTATCCACCGTTCCATGATCAAAATCCGAGCACTGGTAACTGTTTCAAGGCACCTATGTGTGAGTTGGGCAGCGTATATAAATTGGTTTAGTAAATAAGTGCAATATTTATTTACGATGGTTTGCAGTGTCCCAGGGTCACATATCTGCAATTTGCCACTTTCCCAGCTGACTTCTGACAAGTAGTGTCATTGGGGAAGACAGGATTTGCTTAACAGCTTGCAGTGATTCACGTAACAATCATGGCACAAAAGTCATAACATTGGACACAACTCAATATTATAATAGCCTTGCTTAGCAATTGAAATTGTGTTCTCAGTTGTGGCCGAAACACGTTTGTATCTGTGTTTCTTTTTATTATCTCATTCTTAAAGTGCCTTCTTCCTTCATTTTTTGTTTGGTTGTTTTTGAGGGTCCTTCTAGCTACGTGTCATAGAGTACAGAAAAGTTCAATACTTTAATTAAAAGTTCAATATTTTAATTTTACTCAAAGAAGTTGTCCTGGTCTATATGTGAATATAATATACATTGAGAATGGACCATAAACCTTCTGTTATACTATATGTTTGAGTGTGGTGGCTGATATGAATATTTATTTCCATGCTAGTTTAGTAAGCTAATAATAGGCTGGGTGTTAGGGCTCCGACAATCTACCCGTATTCGAATCATGAGTCTCTAGCTGCGTCTCTCAGAGTTTAAAAAAAAATCATTTATTAGGAGTGAACATGTGGCATTACCTGGGTGCAGCTGACACTGAGACACATCATTCATCTCACCCTTGACCCTGGTCTTCCCCCCACCCCCTGGATGTATATTCTCCAATGGGACACATCCATAGCCAAGAGTCATCAATCATGCTCTCCAGTAATAATCTTGCATGCCAGAAGCTTCCGCCGCCTAGCAGTTATCTAAGGTATGCATTACTCTCCCCACTCCTTTTCTGCTGACAACTCTGAAAGACCAGAGAAATATTTTTGAGTTGACACTGGGATCTAAAAACCCCTTGACCTTATGCATCCAAATTGAGATTGCAACTGGCATTTGTCAAACCAAGCTAACTTTCAAATGTTGAGTGGTAACAGTGATCCATAAAACATAGGTTGTTAGTTTGCGTAGCTGATATATCCCAGGAAAAATTTAAAACAGTGCCTTTGTTTTCAATTGTAGTTTTTGCGCTTTTCCTAATTAAATATCAACCCTAGTGATTTCTGAAGGATGTTGACACTTCTGTCATGTTTGTCTTTCTTGTTAGCTCAGTTTACACAATCCAGAGATTAAGCTACAATCCCTGAAGGAAGATATTAAGGAATTTCTGAAGACATCAGGTTTGTGTTTTTTATTCATTACATTTAAGATTTTGGGTTTTAGTAAGTGCTGGATATTAGATATGGTCCATCTAATTCAGGTTAATTTTCAACAGACTAATAAACAGACTGCATTAACTGTAACAGCTTTATCCTTATTCTCCACTAACAACCATGGGGTCCAAGCAGTTATTGTGCCAATCTTCTGTGCAAGCTTTTTGAAATCTCTTCCTTGCTGTCATGTCCCTGGTGGAGTCGGACTCTGAGGAAGAGGAGGAACAGCCGACGGAGTGGAAGCGTGGCTCCGGAATTTGTGGAGCAGGCTGGGGAAGGGCAGAGCCCGGCTGAGCGGTCAGAGGAGGACCCAGGCCCGTCCCCTCTCCATCCTAGGGCATGCAGGGCGGAGAGACAAGGGAGAGACCTGGTCTAGCCTGGAGGAGAGGGCCTTGATCCTCTTCATGGGCTGCAGCTGTGACAACTGGATAAGAGGATGAACCTGCGTACTGGCAAACGCTGGAAACAAAGCATGGAAATATCTCTAGTTTATGGTTCCTCTCTGAGTTTGGTGTCCTTCCCAGTGTGTGTTATCTGAGGATGTCCTCCAGCCCTTATCTTGCCCGGTTTGTGTTGCTTTTTTCCTTCTTCTTGTAACTGTTTGTATGGGAGTTGTTGTCTTCCGTCAAGAATATTTGGAGCTTGGAAGCAAAGTGAAGGAATAAAAAGGGCTTCACCTGTTTTCTGTGACTGTGTTTGTTTTGTATCCCACCCTGGGTCATCACACTTGCTTTAAGCAGCTTGCTAACTGAACTGCTGAATGTCTTCTTATGCTACCTGAAATTTCACAGGCTGAAATACTGTCTTATCAAGCAAATATATATATTCACGTTCATGCTAATATCTCTACCTTGATCCTTTCAACTGCCTGAAAGTATGTTGCCCTTATACAGGTAGTCCTCAACTTACGATCACAATTGAGCCCAGGATTTATGTTGCTAAGGGAAACATTTGTTTTAAGCAAGTGTTGCTCCAATTTACGACTTTTCCCATCACAATTGTTGACGGAGCCAATTACCGTTGTGAAGTGAGCAACACGATTGTGAAATGAATCCAGCTTCTCCGTTGACTTTGCTTAGTCAGAAGGTTGCAAAACGGGATCCCCTGACCCTGGAACACGGCAATGGTCGTAAATATGAGTCGGCTGCCAATTGTCCGGATTTTGATCACGTTGACTTTGGGGATGCTGCCATGATGGTGAAAAATGACGATCAGTCACTTTTCTGTCAGTGCCGTTGTAACTTAGAGCGGTCACTAAACGAACTGTCGTAAGTTGAGGACTACCTGCGCAGCTTAATATTGCTAGCCAGGAAACTCCTGTTTTACCTTCCTAGTTTGGCTTGGGGAAGATGGCAGGCCAAAGGAGAAGGAGTCGGCAGAGAATGGGATGGTTAGATATTGTCATCACGCAATGAATATGAATTCGGGCACGTTCCAGGAAGCAGTAGAGGAAGAGGGAGCTATGGTGTGCTATGGTCCATGGGGTCGGGACGCATCGGACACGATGTAACAACTGAACAACAACAATTTTGGCTTGGACTCCTGCTGTTCTGACCTAGGCTTCCCAAAAGCACAAAGCCGACTCTTCGTCCTGATAAAACCCCTTTTATTTAGGTTAAAATGAATTCCCCTCCAGAAAAGTCCCGACCAACAGTCTTTCATGAGATTTCACAACTACAGACCTTTATCACGCTTGGAGAGCTGCCAGGCCAGTATCTTCCAAACGTCACTCTGTAGCAGACAATATTTGGCAAGAGGTCAGGAATAGATCTTCACCCCAATGACTTGAACTAATTGTCTCCTGCAAACACCCCTCCCCTTTCGCTTCTCTTTATTCCCCATGGGAGGGGCCATTCACCGTCCACCTGAGCCTTTACTCCCGAGTCGACCCTTGTTCCTTAGCTGTTCCCTTCTCTTGGCAGCTCTGCGCATGTGCACGCTGGGAACAGGCTCCAGTTGTTCTTCTGCCCCACTGATCTCCGACTCCGAATATCTTGGGGTTCAGCGCAATGCTGGAGTTGCTTCTTAATACGTTCTTGAAGTCGCTTGTACCTGGACAGGCAAATCAGAGGTGGTATTCTGCAGGTGCTGACCAGTTCTGGAGAACTGGTAGTGGAAATTTTGAGTAGTTCGAAGAACTGGCAAATACCACTTCTGACTGGCCCCGCCCCTATCTATTCTCCGCCTGCTGAGTCCCAGCTGATTGGCTGGGTCTTCTTTTGTTGCCCTGCACAGGAGAACGGAGCTGGAAAGCAGGTTAGTGGGGTGGGGAGGGAATGGAGATTTTGCAGGAACCTTCCCCTGCCACGCCACGTCCACCAAGCCATGCCCACAAAACCGGTAGCAGAAAAATTTGAATCCCACCACTGAGGCAAATAGCCAGTGGCTTCTGTATGACACCAGACTCCAGAATGGCATAAGGTAAGTCGGAAAGGATGCTTCAGGACATAGGAAGATTGTGTGCAGTTGTCAAATTGCCTTACTGTGGGCCTCTACTTGGAAATCAATTCACTTGTCTTTGTATTGGTCTCCAGTACATAAGTTATGTAAATGTTTTAAACAAAATTAGGAATGTACGAATTACATTCTGTGCTTTCATGTGCTTTTAATGCTAAAAATTCTTTTTCCTACCCATCCCTTTATTCTCAAGTTTTTAAACGTCCCAATTATGAGTTTTTCTAATCTTCAGGTGTTTTTTTGTTTTTAACTCTTATTTTGCCAGGTTGGGAAAAGAAGCTGCACAATGCTGTTTATAGAGAAATCAGTATGTGAGTTTTGTTTCTGTCTCAGTGTTGGTAAAACTTTTGCTTCATGTTTGCATGCCGTATTTCTTGACTCAGAGGTCCCTGTGTTGCCAGCCCACTCCCCTTTGGTGTAACCTTAATGGGGCAACCTTGGGTCCCTACAGACCCAAACAGCAAAATGAAAACAAATGAGTAATAAAAGCAATGCAATAAAATTGTGGGAAAGATGGATTTCTTGGAACAAAGTGTAGCTATAATGTGTTCCGACCCAGCTTCCCAAACACGACAAAAACCTCTGACATGAGCTGAAAAGATTCCTTTATTGGGAATGCCGGCAGCCCCCAGCAAAATAGTTTTTCTCTCAGTCTGACAAGTTTGTCTATCCGGAAGATGAATAGCTGTATTTATTTCCACCCCCTGCCTTTTACCCCCAAAGCTAGGGTGGGGCCTCGCTGGCAGCAGTGGCTCTTCCTTCCCAGGAATCAGCCCATAGATTTCCACTGCTCTCCTCTCCTCTGCCTTCTGTGTATCCGCATGTCAGGCACTGGACCCAGCTGTTCCTCTGCTTCCTCATCAGCCACCTCCAGACCGGGGGGCTGTTGACTCTCCATCTGGGGGCTGATGGACGGCCCAGGCTCTTTGTCTGTCTCTCTCCCTCACAGCTGCATTCCCACTTCGCTCTCCCAGAGTGCCTTGATGCACGTCCCGACTTTCACTCCGCCTCCTCCTCCTCCTCTGATTTGGCCGCTGGAGGGGCCGGCGGCCGACAGACCACAACATAACCTTCTTCATTTCTCCCCTGGATTCTGTCTGCACCTCTTCAAGCAAGATATCCTGTTTCACAGCTTGGGAAACCCTTGACTTAATGTGTACAGGGAGTCCTCAGCTTAACAACCACAATTGACCCCCCCAAAAAAAATTCCCATTGTTAAAGTGAGCTGTGCCCCCATTTTATGACCTTTTATGCCACGGTTGTTAAGCAAATCACTGCAGCTATTAAGTGAATCTGGCTTCCCAATTGAATTGGCTTGTTGGAAGCCGGCTGGGTAGGTTACAGATGGTGATCGCACGACCTCAGGAGAGTGCAACTGTCATAAGTACATGCCAGTAGCCAAGAGCCCGAATCTTGATTATGTGACCATGGGGATGCTTGCAGCGGTCATAACTGGCCCTGAGTTACTTTTATTAGTGGCGTTATAACTTCAAATGATCGCTAAGCGAATGGTTTGTTATGTCGAGGACTGCCTGTATGGCATTTGTTTCCAATGCAACTCATTCTGGGTCGAACCCATTCGTGCCTTCTAATTTGGGTCATTGAGTGAGGACTTCATATGGCTGTGATTTATGATTTATTTGCAGGCTTCCCCATTGGCCTTGCTTGTGGGAAGTTGGCAGGGAACATAGAATGAATTGTTCGTTGTTAAGTCTTTGAAGCGATTTATCCATTCTCGATATTTCTCTTCAATTTTATCCTGTCTTATGGGCTTCATGCTCATTTCAGTCTTGAAATTTAAGTATCATGCATTGTAGCCTCTTAGGGTTGTTAATTAAGAGCTTCTTCATTTTGACCTCTTAATGGTTTATGACAGGGGTCGCCAACCTTTTGGACCTCAGGGACCACTAAACTCATCGTTTTAAATCCCGTGGACCAGAGACCCTGGGAAAATCCCTTCAAAAGTCTGTAGGAAAGTTCCCCACCCCGTTTTCCTACCAATCGATCGTTATTTATTTGGGATCGCAGGATACCGTCTCCAGCTCCGTTCCCAGGGGGAGAGAGAGAGAGAGACTTTGGGCTTCATGCAAGGAAAGCAGCAGAAGCAGCAGAACTCTTTCTTTCTCTCCCCCAAATTCCACCAGAAACGAGTCTTTGTGAGACTTGTCATGCCAGTGCAGCCTCTTGGAACAGAATGCCTTGCAGGGCCCCAAAGAGTCATTTCTGGCGGAATTTGGGGGAGAGAAAGAAAGACTTTTGCTGCTTTCCTTGCATGTAGCCAAAAGCAGAAGAAGAAAGAAGCGGAAAGTGGCCAGGCCAGGCGTGTGGGTCGAGGGAGGCAAGTTCCCCCCCTCTGCCCTTTCCCCCTCCCCTCACAATCTCATGTTGTGCACAATGCAAGCGACGCAAGCCTTGAGTTCCCATGGGCCATGTGGACGGCGCAATCTTGTGTTCCCGCACAGCCTCGATTAATTGCTTTGGGGGTGACTTTTCTCTGTGGACCACCAAAATTTTCTCATGGACCACCAGTGGTCCATGGCCCACTGGTTGGCAAACACTGGTTTATAATATGGTTGCAAAACTATCCTGTCTTACCCTACCTTGTTGCCAGGATAAACAGTGAAACATAAGTGCCTCTAGCAATATTTCACAAGGCCATAGATTGATCAGGACACCATGTATTGAGAGCCGTGGTGGTGCAGTGGTTAGAATGCAGTTCTGCCATCTGCCAGCAGTTTGATTCTCACTGGCTGAAGGTTGACTCAGTCTTTCACCTATCTGAAGTCAGGAAAATGAAGAACCAGATTGTTGAGGGACAGTATTCTGATTCTGTAAACCGCTTAGAGAGAGGTGTAAAGCACTGTGAAGCAGTATATAAGTGCCGTGCTATATATTGTGCCTGAAAATTTATGTATCTCTAAGAAAAATAGGATCTATAAAGATTTGCTTAGAAATGTGGGTCTAAACCCAGGGTCTTCAAACTTGGCAAGTTGAAGACTTGTGGACTTCAACTCCCAGAATTCCTGAGCTAACATGACTGGAGGAGGAATTCTGGGAGTTGAAGTCCACAAGTCTTAAAACTTGAAGTTTGAAGACCCCTGGTCTAAACAGTACTGGGACTAAAATATTTTTTTTTCCTTTTAGGTTTCCTTTGCCTTGTTCTCCATCAGTGCCTCCTGAACACATCAAGGAACCTTTGGTTTACATGAGAAAAGCTCAGGTTTGATGTGATTAAATTTTACTGCACATGCTGAAATATGGGTATATGCTAAGAAGTATTTGACCCAACTATGCCAGTTGGCTTGGGTCCCCAAGGGGGGAATATCACACTGGAGGTGGCTGATGAATGAATGAATGAATGAATGAACAAATGAATGAATGAACAAATGAATGAATGAATAAAAAAACCCCTACATCCTACTCCCTCCCTCTCTCCCTCCATATCTGTTAATTGCAACTTCACCTGAATTGTAATTCTGTTTGTATTGTTTTTAGAAATGTTTTTTTACGGTTGTATTGCTTTTAAAGCTGTTATGCCAACCAGAGTTGCTTCGAAGAAGATAAGCAAATTGAATAAATAAATAATAATAAATACATTCTTGCTGAATTGAGTGCCACCAATCTCAAGAATAGAATAAAACGAATAGAAGGGACGTGGCGACTCCGTGGCTAAGACACTGAGCTTGTCAATCAGAAAGGTTGGCGGTTCGGCGGTTCGAATCCCTAGCACCTCGTAATGGAGTGAGCTCCCGTTACTCGTCCCAGCTTCTGCCAACCTAGCGGTTCGAAAGCAAGTAAAAAAATACAAGTAGAAAAATAGGGCCACTTTGGTGGGAAGAGAACAGTGTTCCATGCGCCTTCGGCATTTAGTCATGCCAGCCACATGATCACGGAGACGTCTTCGGACAGTGCTGGCTCTTCAGATTTGTAACTGAGATGAGCAACGCCCCCTAGAGCTGGAAACTACCAGCAGTTATGCGCAAGGGGAACCCTTTCCTTTACCTTAATCTCAAGAAGCCATGCTCTGAGTAAAATCTGGTTTTCAGATCCACGAGATACGTAGTGGCCATTCCCAAACAATCAACCAAGGCAAACTCTGCATCTTTCACAAACGAAGCAAGCCCCTTCCCCCTTTAAAAGGACCAAAGGTAATCCTTGATTTACAATAGTTCATTTAGTGACTGTTCAAAGTTACGACGAAACTGAAACTGGTGTACTGGTGAAACTGGCGTATTATCTGTACCTTTTTTTTTTCGTATATTGCCTATATTTAATGACCACAATTGAGCCCAGAATTTATGTTGTTAAGTGAGACATTTGTTAAATGAATTTTTACGACCTTTCTTGCCACAGTTGTTAAGGGAACCACTGCAGGGGTTAAATTAGTCACTTGATTGTTAAGTGGATTGTTAAGTGAAATGGGCTTCCCTGTTGACTTTGCTCGTCCGAAAGTGATCAAATGACCCTGGGACACTGGCTGCTGTCATAAATATGAATCAATAGCCAAGTGCTTGACTTTTGATGGGGATGTTGCAGTGGTCATAAGTGTGAAAAAATAGTCATAAGCCCCTTTTTGCAATGCCATGGTAACTTTGAACAGTCGCCAAATGAACTGTTGTAAGTCAAGGACTACCCATATATAGGACTCTCATTTGACAGTATTGCTAATTGCCCAGAGTCATCTGTTTGGGATGGGCAGCCATATATATCTGTGAAGTGAATAAATACTGGCATTCTTGTGACTTTAACCTTCTTTGTGTTACTAATTAACCCAACCAAGGCTTATAGTTGTAATGCAATGCCCAGTCGATGTTATGGCATTATACAGAAATTTAGGCCTTATATTTTTATCATGGCAACATATAGTCACATCTGGGAGTGGTGCGGTAGCCTAGAGGCAGGGATGGGCTGCTACGGGTTCGCCCGGGTTTGGGCGGACCTGTAGCTAATGTTATGGCCGGTTCGGCAAATTGCCAAATTCCACCCCACCCAGCCCCTCCTACCCCACCTTGCCCCTCCCTGGAGCCTCCACGTGGCCCAATTTGGATGCAAAGTAAGTGCAGGGCCCACTTGGAGGCTCAGGGAGTGGGGGGGAAAACAGGCCTCCCGGAAGGCCGGAAACGGACCCATTTCAGGCCTCCAGAGCCTGGGGGAGGCAGTTTTTGCGCTGCCAGAGGCTCGAGGAAAGCCTCCGGAGCCTGAGGAATGCGAAAACGGAGGGCCTGTGTAGTGCAGAAGGCCGACTAGGCCAGTGGTGGCTAACCTTTTTGGACTCCTGTGCCAAAAATTGTGTGCGCGCTCGCATTCACGCACTTGCATGCCAGCACCCAGAAGGCAATGCGCGCGCCCCCCTGAGCATGCGTGCGCGATTCCCCCCTCCACTGTGCATGTGCGTGCCTCTCAGGAGATTTTTTATCCTGTTTGAGGCTTTTTTCAGCCTCACGGAGGCTCGAGGGAAGCCTTTGCAGGCCGAAAAAGGTGCCCATTTTGTCACTTCCAGTATTTCCGGAAATACAGGAAGTGATGAAACAGGCCTGTTTTCGGCCTGCAAAGGTTGCAGAGGCTTCCCTTGAGCCTCTGGGAAGCCCCAAAAGCCCTCAACATGGTTGAAAAAATCAGCTGCGAGGTGCGCGCATGTGCAGTGAGGTAAGTTTGCCTGGGGCTCGCGTGCCTGCACAAATGGCCCTGAATGCCACCTGTGGCACGCATGCAATAGGTTTGACATCACAGAACTAGGCCATGCTCACCATGGCCATATGCCCACCCAGCAACCGGGCAGAGAACCCGTTACTGAAATTTTTGAAGCCCACCCCTGCCTAGAGGTGGAGCTCTCACCTCACAGTCAGAAGGCTGTATGTTCAGTACTAGGTCAAGGCAGAAACTTCTCTCTCTGGGCACACTGAGAAGATATCTGCTGAACAAAACTCCACATAGGTGACAGGAAGGGCATCCGGCCATTAAAACATTCTGCTAGTGCTCAATTCAGTTGCCCAGACTCCACCCCTGCAAGGGATTATGGGGTCGTTAAAAGATGATAAGGATGATAAGTCACATCTGAGAGTGAAGAATGTATTATTAGGGTAATGTTGAAAAGCAGTTTACAGTAGCTGGAAAAAGATGTTCACAAAATCCTAATCAATTAATGCCATTTCATCGATAGGACAATTTGAACAAGCTGACACTTTTCCACTTAAGCTCTTATTAGAGTAGATGTGATAATATCGGCCAGTCAGTATATCTGAGCATAAATATTTGAAGATGACTGGCAATAAAAGCTCAAGACATTTCTGGTTTTTTGCAGACAGTTAAAATGAAACAAACCAACAAGCGCGGCATCAACATATTCAGTGAGCACATGAAAAATTAGTCTCCACCCATACTTGCTACATTAAAGCATGAAAAAGAATAACATATATCACTTTGTATATTCAATAGTTAGGTTAATTGCAGTTCTGTAAACTCCATGCCTGAAAACTCTTTTCAAAAATATAATAAGACATTGCTGGATGAAAAATAAATAAACCAATGATCCATAAATGTAGGTGCACGGTGTTACCTGGGGTGAGTAATAAATTGTCCTCAAATGAATTGATGTGTGACAGTTCCATTACATTCCCCCATTTTTATTACCTAGCTACATACGATACCTATGAAACAATCATGTCAGATGGTTATATATATTACATAGGTGTAACATTATTCTCTAGATTTTTCTTTTTAAAAACTGAGGAATTGCAGGAAAATAAATTCTCAAATGGACAATAAAACAAAAGAAGACAGGGCTGTCGCCACCCAGCTACCCTGCCTACTCCCAAACAGTAATTGAGACTATTCCATTCCTGTTTTCTTTCACAGGGAAAAAGTAGCTATTGATACCCATCCATCCATATTTATATCTATCTGTCTGTCTGTCTGTCTGTCTGTCTGTCTATCTATCTATCTATCTATCTATCTATCTATCTATCTATCTATCTATCTATCTATCTCTGTCATCTGTCTACCTCTCTATTATCTGTCTGTCTGTCTATATCTATCTATCTATCTATCTATCTATCTATCTATCTATCTATCTATCTATCTATCTATCTATATCTCTCTATCCATCTGTCTGTCTGTCCATCCGTCCATCCATCCATCCATCTATCTAATCTATTTATCCATCCAGATCTATCTAATCTAATCTAATCTAATCTAATCTAATCTAATCTAATCTATCTGTTCCCCCCTCTGTAGATATCTAGATATACTGGTGTGTGTGTGTGTGTGTGGTCATTTTCCCAATCAAAACTTGGGCAGGATTTGTTCTTTTTTAACAGACACACACACACACACACACACCAGTGGTGGGATTCAAATTGTTTTACCACCGGTTTGCTAGGCGTGGCTTGGTGGGCGAGGCTTGTGGGCGTGCTTTGCCTAAAGCCTGTGCAGAGTTTTCCCCACACCAGCTGAGGCCTGCAGCGCCAATCAGCTGAAAGGATAAAGAAGAGAAAAGCGCAGGAGCGGGTGGCAGGGACGATCCTGCGTTTTTCTCTTTATCCTTTCAGCTGATTGTCGGAGGATTTTTTCCCCCTCCTTTCAGCTTGATTGACGGCTTTTTTTAAACTACCAGTTTGGCTGAACCGGTCCAAACTGGTAGCATACCACCACTCACACACACACACACACACACACACACACACACACACCGGTATTTAAAACTTAAATGGAAAAAGAAAATGAGAAAGTATCTTCCAATTGGACATTATAATTAGGAGGAAGATGACTTGGTTTCTGTTTTCTTCTTCAGGCAAACTGGGAAAAACGTATTTTGAAGAGCCTAAACAGCATGTGTATAGAACTTGGCATTCCGTTATCACAGAAGGTACGTTTTATTTGCCGCTTTTCCTGTAAGCATACAGTTTATCGACAATCTCATGTACATTTGAGTTGACTGCACCCTGTTTCTTGTGCTCTACAGAGGCCGCTGGGTGAGCAAAAAGAACTTTTGAATAAATGGAATGAAATGGGGACGGAGGAGCCAGGTATTTGCCCGCCTTCGTTATGAAAATTAAAATCATGCTCAGTATATACGCACTTTGAGAAGAGAATATGCAAGAGAAAGACAAGAAACACCCCACTACCCGAAAGGTTGAAGATAACAAAAGCTTTTTCAGAAATCTAAATTGTGCTTTTCTTGTTTGTCTCCTGTTAATAAGCTGTTTGGAGAAAATTCTCTTTATCAATTTTCCTTGCAAATCAAACTGTCCCTTAAAATACAAACAGCTCATGACGGTATTGCAGGCAACAAAAACAAAGCGAATGAGGTTACAACCCCTCTATGCAAAGTTAACAAATTAGGTGATTGGCTACTTGGATTTCTAAAATGTTTTATGGCTGAATTGACAGGGCTTAGGTTGTGTCTCAAGCCCCTGGGGATGTATTTAGGGAGGAGGGTTTTGTGCTGGTCTTCATTGACGACATAGGCACATAAAATGTTTCATTGGGTTCATTTATTTATTTAAAAGATTGGTATGGCCACCCATCTTAAAACAAATTCTGGGTGACTCGCAATAGCCATAAAACTATAATAATCCTAAAATGGGTCGGCAACCTTAAACACTCAAAGAGCCACAAAGATCCAAACTGGAAGCCCCCTGTTCAATTCCCCCACCATAGAGTTTCCTCATAGCTTGGTGTCCTCCTTCCTCTGCTGACCAGAAGTCTGGTTTCTCCCCCAACACCTCCAACACCCACCATAGAGTGTGGCGTCCTAGTGTGGTGTCCTTTTTCCTCTTATCTGTCCTAACCGAAAACCCTATCATGGAGCCAATTGGAAAACCCGCTCCTTGCCATAGAGACTCTTCCTGGCGCGCCATGCTTCCCTCCCCCCCCCCCCAACACCAGAAGCTTCTCTCAAAATTGTGATGATAGGGAGACGCAGCAGAGGGATGAAAGAGCCACATGCGGCTCCAGAGCCGCATGTTGCCAACCCCTGCCCTAAGAACTATATAATTGTCAGGATTTAATGGACTTCTAGAAGATTTAATGATCTGCGGATCCCATTTCTATCTTGTTCCATAGTCCACGTATCAATAACTTTTTTTCTGGTTCTGGGCAAGTATTCTAAAATATCATGTGTGTTAACTCATCTCTCAAAAGAGTGCACAGATATCTTGATTATTCCAACACATGTTATCCTTTAATTTTAAATGAGATAAAATAGACCAGCCTCAATTAGTTAATATTTTTGTGTATTATTAGTTTTCCCATTAAAGAAAACTTTCTAAAAGTTGTCCTTATTTATTTATTTATTTATTTATTTATTTATTTATTTATTTATTTGGGCAAGCGATTATTAGATAACAGGTATACGTATAAACATGGTTATGAATACATGAAATGGATACGAATAAGAAAAAAAAGAAACAATAGGACAGGGACGGTAGGCACATTGGTGCGCTTATGCATGCCCCCTATATAATTACATTATAATGCCCCCTATAATTACATTAGTTCTTTCAATTATTCTGCATGAGATTTACTCCTTGGAAAAATAAACCTGGAGGTTGTTTTGAACAGTTATTAGAATGAGGATGAAATAATAATATTTGATTATTATTATTACTGGAATGTATAGTTCAAATAGCTACAGAATATTTAGGGTTGAATAACTTTATATTTCAGATCTAAGTCTCTTCAGGCCAGTTTACGCACCTAAAGATTTTCTTGAGGTAAGTTTTTGCAAAAAAAAATGGATTGGGTTTTAGTTTTGGATATGCATTTTTTTAATCCAATAAAATCTTGTCGTTCCTGAGAATGGATCTTTTGAGTCATTAGATTCACAGATGAGCTTTAATGCAATCTTCAGTATATTGCACTTTACTGTACATGGTAAAATTAGGGGATCATCTATAGATAGCCCTCGACCTAACGACCACATTTGAGCCCAAAATTTCTGTTGCTAAGCAAGACAGCTAAGTGAGTTTTACTGCATGTTACAACCTTTCTTGCCACAATTGTTAAGTGAAACACTGCATTGATTAAATTAGTAACACGGGTGTTCAGTGAATCTGGACTTAACTGGTCAGAAGGTCGTAAAAGGGGAACATGTGAGCCCAGGATGCTGCAACCATCATAAATATGAACCAGTTGTCAGGCAACTGAATTTTGATCCTATGACCATGGGGATGCTGCCATGAGTGTAAGTGTGAAAATTGGCCACAAGACACTTTTTTTCCAGTGCCGTTGTCTCTTCGAACAGTCACTAAATAAGAGGTTGTAAGTCGAGGCCTTAAAATATTTATGATGTGTTCCTCTGAAGGAAGGACAAAAAAAGCATTTCTTACATTGCAAAGATGTGTCTTGGCTAACTAGCTTAATACTTGATTTTGTTCCCCGTGTGATTAAAAAAGGTTTCTGCGTAAATATCATTTCCTGTTTGCTGGAAATGTAGACTAAAGCTACCAAATCTAAGCTGCAAAAATTGTTGTGGTCTACCAGTGGCTAGTGGAGCTGGAAGCAGAGTCGGACAGTGAGGAGGTTGGGGAGTAACCTGGGCCAGTCTTGGAGGGTGAGGAAGGTTCGGACGAGGGCTCTGCATCAGAGGCAGAGATGGGGCCAGGGCAGGCTGCCTTTGGAGTTGGATAACAGTGAGGCGGGGGAGCATCCGGAGCCGGTTCCCAGTCTGCACATGCGCAGAGTTGCCAAAAGAAAATAACAATTACGAACTAAGGGTCGATGTGGGAGTAAGGCCACAGGTGAACGATGAATGGCCCCTCCCATAGGGATTAAAAGAGGAGCAAAAGGGGAGGGGACTTTTGCAGGAAATAGTTTGATCATTGCAGCAATGTGAAGATCTGTCTGTGCGTCTCAGAGCCTCTGTGCCGAGTCCTTCCTTGTCAGCACTGCGTTTGAAAATATTTACTTGGCGGCTCTCCAGGCTAGATGATGTCTGTGCTCTTAAATTAGACCCTTGAAAGACTGTTTGCCAGGCCTTTGGCTGAAGGTGAATGCAAGAAATTCACCTTCGTTTAATAAAAGGGGTTTTGCCGGGACAAAAAGTCTGCTTAGTGCTTTTTGGAGAAGCCGAAGTCAGAACAAAAATTTGACTCTTCTTATTGCTATTAATAGCCATCTGTGTAGTTTTGCAGCTTAGAGCTGATAGGGGTTCCAACACAATTTACGCCAGCCACATTTTTGTGCCCACTTCTCTGTGGGCTCCCCACTGCAGTCAACCCACCATTGGCGTTTATGCTTGGCGGGCCCTTCGTTGGCATTCCTTCCCCAGCAGTGATCTGCCGGCCTCCTCCCACAACTTCCTTCTCCTGGCCCGTTCACCAAGGGACACTTGTCCCTGGGTGTTTCGATGTGCATTTTGATTTGTAGCCACGTCCCAGCTGAGGGGGAGCTCCAGGCCCTGGGCATCCGCCAGCCCCGCATCCTGCGCAGGAGGAGGGAAAGGAAAGGAAAGCACAAGTCCCAGCCATGCCTAGAGCCTCAGTTGCCCTGTGGGGAGAGTTTGTGTGCAGGCGGACCCTCCTGTCCTGAGAGACCTCGTGGGAGAGGAAGGGCTTTCTAAAAAACAAAACAAAAAACCCAGAAACGGTGGCATGGGAAGATAAAATGATTCAGTTTAAAAGAAAAATTACAACGTTAAGTGCCTCTCATTCTTAAATGTGCAAGGAAACCTGGATTCAGGGGACAGGGAATGTCATGCCCTTGACAGAGTCAGATTCTGAGGGAGAGGAGGAACAGCCGACAGGGAGTGGAGATGTGGCTCTGGAGGTTGTGGAGGAGGTTGGGGAAGGGCAGAGGCCAGCTGGGCAGTCAGAGGAAGAACCAGGCCCATCCCCTCTGCATCCTAGGACATGCAGGGAGGAACGGAGAAGGAAACAACTTGGCTTATGAGAGAAGAAGCGGCCATGATCCTCCTCATTGGTTGCAGCTGGGGAGAATAGTATATAAGAGAGACGGTTAAAACACAGCATTGCCAGAAGCAAAGTGTGTTTAATTTGGGCTGAAGTTATCTTGGTTGGCGTGCTTCCAACAGGCTGTGCCTTGTTATCTCCTTGAATTTGGTAATTACTTATCCTAGTCCGTTGTGGAAATTTCTTCATTTTAGTTTGGTTTTTTATTTCACCTCTATCTGCTCATTAAATTCGGACTGTATTGCTTTCTTTTGAAGACTATTTTTGAGTAAGTTTTATCTCCAACTGAAAATTATTGAACAGTGGGGCCAAGTTGAAGGCATTAAAGGACATTTATTTACATTTTGGATTTTGTTACATTTGTGTGACACTCCAAGTCATCATAGTGAGGGCTGTACAATTCTCAGTTGGAAGAAGAAAAAAAAAATGACACGGACCAAATCTGAGGAGAGCGTGTGCAGGCCGCTTCTCCCTGATAACAGGGTTAAAGCTCCAAGGGCACTTAACATTTTTATTTCCTCCCCAAACCGAACCGTTTTAGCTTCTCCCACCATACAGGCTCTGTTGTTGTTGATTTTTCGGGCAAGCCCTTCCTCTCCAGGAACTAATGAGGCACACATGGGTCTCCAGCAAAGGGAGGGACAGCTTGCGTGTACTTCCCACGAGGCTGCCAAGGCTCTGATTGCGGCCAGGGCTCGCGCTCTTCTTTTGGCCTCCTGAGCAGAATGCAGGCCGATGGATGCTGGTGGGGCCAGAGGTCCCCCCCCCATCGACTGGCTACAAATGCAACCAGGCCATGGCAGGAGTGACTGCTGGCTGGGCTGCCACCCCTGCTGGTCGGGAGGGGGGACATGTCAGGTATCTGGGACCCCGCTTAATGTCAGGTACACTGAAACGCCCGGGCATAAGTGTCCCTTGATGTATCGGCCAGGGGGTGGGCCAGGAGTGCTGGCAGACTATTTCCAGGGAAGGAGGGCCTGATGGAGGGCCTGCCAAGCATAAACACCGGTGATGGGTTGCCTGAGGGGGTCCCGTCCACCCCCTCGCGGAGAAGTGGGCACGAAATCTGGCCAGGGCAAAATGGTCACGTTCTGTTAAGGTGGCTATTTTAAAATAATTTATTTACTTCTTACACATGTATAGTCAATTCTAGTTCTCTTGTTAAAGGTGCTGATGAACCTGCGCAATCCAAATTATGACACCAGCGAGATGCCTAATATTAGAAATCACTTGGGACTAATTCAGGTCCCACTGAACGTGAAAGATATACCTGACCTGGTAAGCATCCATTTCAGCTTCTTCAAAAATAGAGGACAGCCATTTCATTTAACAGTAGTCTACTGAACTCAGTGGACCTTACGTATGAATCCATATGTATAAAAAAATAGTCAGGAGTGTCCGAGGCACAGAAAACCTTTAGAATATTAAAAAATAAATACGATACAAAGGCTGAAATGAGGTAATTGTTCCCTTCTGGTGCTTTTTTGTATATGGAGAAAGAAATATTTTTTGCTTCCTGTTTGCAGAAAATGAAAAAAATGGTGGGGGTGGCAAGGCTGGGCTGAATGAATTAAAATAAAAAAGTAATGATCTGTAAACTGCCAATGGGGAAAATGTGATCCTTGAATCAAAATTGTAAAGTTTTTTCCCCCCGTGCCATCACTCTGCTAAACAACTAATTCCCACAACACTTTCACACTATCTAGAAAGGCAATATTACCATTATTGTTCTCATCTTCCCTATTACCTATCTCCTTATCTTCTTATGACTATAACTATGTTGCTCGTATCGTATGACTTATATTGTTTTATTTAGTATCTTAGTGTGATTTATGTTGATCGCTTATTATCCATGCCCATCCCTAAGCATTGTATCTAATGTTTTATGATGAGTGTGTTTTTACAATGACTATGATAATGATTTGCCGCACATGCATATTATTGTATGTACACTGAGAGCGTATGCACGGGAGACAAATTCCTTGTGTGTCTAATCACTTTTGGCCAATAAAGAATTCTAAATGTAATTCTAAGTCTAATTCTAATTCTGTATATGAGAATTGCTGAATATTCTTGATACATGAATTTTAAACCCCCTGCTGTAAAGGATTATTTTTCACAAATGACATTAAATAAAATTCTAGCCTATAGCTCAGAGGTCTTCAAACTTGACAGCTTTAAGACTTGTGGACTTCAACTCCCAGAATTCCTCCTCTAGTCGTGTTAGCTCAGGAATTATGGGAGATGAAGTGCACAAGTCTTAAACTTGCCAAGTTTGAAGACGCTTGGTCTGTGGTAAAGAGCCTTCCACATCTATCTGTCTGTCTGTCTGTCTGTCTATCTATCTATCTGTCTGTCTGTCTATCTATCTATCTATCTATCTATCTATCTATCTATCTATCTATCTATCTATCTATCTATCATCTATCCATCTATATCTATTTATCTCTAATCTATCTATCTCTGTTTCTCTATATCTATCTCTATCTATCTCTAATCTCTCTCTCTCTCTCTCTTTATCTCTAATCTATCTATCTATCTATCTATCTATCTATCTATCTATCTATCTATC